CAATGTCTCATTAAAAAATAAAACAAAACCTAGCAGCATATCTCAGCTAAATGTTTTCCATTAATAGCAAGCAAATGTGTATATGCAAAGTGGTATCGCCTACTCAGTTAAAAGCAGATTCATACCCTTAATGTAATTCTCATCAAACATAATTTACTTTTATTCTGGTGACTAAAAGAAAATATTTTTTCCACTCACAGTTTGAACTAAAATTGGACAAAATTCTGATATTTAATCAAGAAAAAAAGGTTTGTTTTCAGTTTATCATGGATTTGTTGTACTTTGCAAAGAACCCCAAAACCCACAGAAAAACAACTCTGTCACCCTCCCTCAAAAAAACGTGAGTTTTATTCCAAAAAGGAGAGCACACCCCTCCCACATATTAAAGCTTCCCTGACACACGCGCCCCACCAAAGGACTGAATTCTTCTTCAGAAGCAAAAACTGCCTTACAAATTTCATGTCTTTGGAGAAAAAACAGTTAAAATTGCTAATCCAATACACCTTTTGGAAAAAAAAAGCCCATAAACACAGGAGTGGAAAAATAGCACAGATGTTCATCTCTAATGCAATTTCCATTCAATTTCCTAAGTGAAGTCCCCAAGTGCAAACTAGTTTAACGTTATGTTTAGCTTGCAAATTCTTTTAATAAATAATGAATGCAATAAAACCAGGAGATCAATTGCAAGCTGAGAAATCATAAAAGGAGCCCTTTGTGCTCAGCCCTGTTTGCTGATTCGGAAAGTTTTCCCTTATTTAAATTGGTCGTGTCAGTTTTAAAGATTATGTTGAAATGTTTTGATTACCTCCCTGATATCTCTGGTTGCCTCAGTGCCTTTGCCCTCTACGCGATTCTGTAAATTGCCATTTTCAGCCACTATATCGTAGTTAATTAAAGCTCCTGTGTCCTTTTTTCCCTACTTTATAAAATAAAAAGGAGGCAGATGAGGGAGAAGAGGTGCTGAAAATCAGCTCAATCAAACATTTTTTTCCCTAAGATGCACCATATTTATATATGAATGTAAACTGCTTTGTTGATAGGCAAAAATTGGCAGGTAGATTTTTAACACACCGAAGACCAGAAAGAAATGTGATTCCACTGCTATTCAATGGAGACTAATTTCTTTACAGACCAACAACTTCACTCCAGTTACCAAACCTCTCCGTTCCTGCCCATAAATGATTCACACTTTTCACCAAATAAAAGATATAAAAGGTCTCCCTACCAGTCAGTGGTAATGAACTCAGTGAAAGCAGATTGGTTCTCCAGAACATAGAGGACTAATAATGTGTACCCTGATCTGCAGGTGGAGGAGTGCTAAAAGGTTAATTACCGAATCATGCCAAAAGTGGCCATCTGGACTTCAGGGTACACAAACAGAGCTGTCTTTTCCAGATCTCCACAGCTTTGCCTCCAGAACACTACAGAACACTGAAACTAAGCTGCTTGTTCCTGATTTTCTCCACCTCTGACTGCTAAGAAACGTTGATCAATCCACTTAATAAGCAAGGAACCAGAAGGTTCCACAGGACTGAGGGCACAATGAGTGTTTGACGCTTTGAAAGTGTTTTTGTCAGGAGACAATCTGAATTTGTCGCACTTCACCCAGGTATAATACAACACCTGTCTGTGCGAGAGAAACATTCGTCACGCCACATTCTTCAGACATCCCTTCAAAGGGATGCCTCAGTAAAATTCCCCCAAAATGGTATACAGTTAAAAGAGACCTTGGACACAGCAACCCCTTTCTTGCCCTGAACTTATGCGGACAGGTTTAGCATCGTAGCTTCTGCTCACTGTGTATCCTATGTATTTTAATGCTAAATGTATTTAAAATTAAATTATTTTTAATTACAGTAGACTGAAATAATACATTGCAATACTACAACACAATTTGTTTGGAAACCTACGTGCCAGAGGTCATGTTGAACGTTTCAATTTTCCACAAAAAACATCCAAATCATTTACAAAATGTTACACACCATAACTTACAGGGCTGTAAAAGATTAGATAAGACAACACTCTTTTGATAACCTGTTTAATGTAAGTGATGATATTACCGCAGCTACAGAGTAACTCTTTAGATAAAATAGAACTTTGCTGTGCACCTGAGCCTGTTAAGAGCTTGACCTGGGAAAAAAAAGAAAAAAGACAAAGCTATGGCACAATTTGATATTCAGTATCCAGATCAGGTACACAGAATTATGTTAAGCAAAGTTTAACCTGCTTTGGGTAAGAGCACAGCCCTGGGTTTCAATCCATGAACATATTCATGCCTTCTGCAACGGGAAATGAAAATGGAAGATATTTATTGTTGTTGGGTCAGCTTTAAATTGGTGTGTGCAGATGTTTTGAGGGTATTATTTCAATACATATTGTTCCACAGAGGAAATGCATTAAAAAACTTCATTCATGCCCTTTACTGACATTGTTGTTACATGCACTCACTGTACAACTTAAAGACAATTAAAACACCTCACTTCCCTTTCTTTTGTAATCAATTACCAGCTGACTTCACTCACACAGCAGAAAACAATCCCTAGATTCAAAGATTAAGCCATTAAAATAAAGCGTGTTTACACTTATCATCAGATTTTGCCATGTGTTTAGTGGTTCTTACTAGTAAGTAGAAATGTACTTTTCAGTCTTGAAACTTGCGTTTTTGCAAAAGCACGTGTTTCGCCAAAAAATCCAAAAGGAGCAAAGAGATTTATAATCGAACCTAACCCTAGAACAGTATTATCCATTTTTCTATAAATGTGTGTTGCATATGAATTGATTGTGTTTATCTGTTTTTAAAACACACTCTGCCAGACACTCAAGATGAATGTCAACCCTGACAGTTCTCGGCTCAAGCAAATTCAATTCCGTTTTCACACACATTGTAAATATTTTAATAAAGACATATTTACATATTACAGGGATCCATAGTGCATATCAGCACGTTTCTAATCACTGTTGTCAGCATAACCATATGAAAAATTACAACTCATTTTCTTTCTTCTTAAAACACATTAAATACCCAAACCTTCACTTAAAAATTAAAAAAAGCTTCTTTTTTTTTCTGGGAGCTGTGCCTTGTCGTTAAAGCTTCAAGACCAGCATCTAAAAATCAATTAGACAACTGAACACAAACTCCACGGATTATGCTTGTTGTAGAAGGGCCCAGCAAAAATGGGACCGGCCTCTTTAAAGTTCCTTTCTCATTGACATTGCTGGCGGTGCATGGGAACATTAATGCATCTGTCATGATAACAAGCTAAGAATAACATCTAGACATCAAACCGAGCAGAGAATCCATCTGAAGTGATTCATTCAGATCTGTCTCATTGATTTATTAAACACACGGCAACATCTGCAGCCTCGCAGAGCCGCTCTGTGAAAATTAATTCAAGATCAATTCAAATGGAAAAAAAGTGCATGGAGATAAATCAAAACACAATTTGCATGCAGTTCCACCATCAGGCTTATTTTCTACAAATGCTAAATTTCCCTCCTGCGGCAAATTGTTTTTAGGTAAGGTTTTTATTACAGGAGGCAATATTTTTTTTAAATAATTTTATCTTTCGACCAAAAAAAAAGAAATACAGTATGGGAACTTAAAAGCATAGTGCCTTCAGATAAAAAAATCCTTAAGCACCATTGGCACCATTTATGAAATACTTTAAAAAAGTAAAAATGAAGAAAGAACGGTTTAGATCAACATGGTTTCCATAATTATTTTAATAAAAATATTATAATCTAAAGTCTGCACTCGGAATTATAAAATAAACTTAGAAAGTTTATCTCTTTCGGAGTTATTCAGAATTGAGTGTCTAACACCCGCTCGTCGGCATCAAAGGAAACCTTTTCTGATATTCATGTTCTTGCACAACAAAAAAGTATCGTTGTTTAATATTTATTTTTTGAGTTATTAGTTATATACTCTCCTTTTCATATCGTGCTGCTTAAAGTTTTTTTAAGTTATTTTTTTCACTGGCTAAATACTATTGCAATACATATCAGTAAAGTATAATGACTGGTATTATACACTAGTATTAACGCGAAACCACATGCACGATGTTCTTCTTGCACACTGATAAGCAAAATAAGCATGTATCGAAATTAAATTTTAAAATAAAAACGCTTAAAGAAACATTAACTAACCAAAATCATATTTTTACGTAAAAATAAAACTGGAAAATCCGGACAAATCCAATAGGTCTTTTTCAAATGCCATAGATATTCGTTCGTTTAGCAGCATTTCATTGTTTTAATAGAACACGAACCAACCTTGCGCTTCGCCTGGATATCTGTGCTAAATGAAGTACGAGCCTATCGGCGTTGCACCTTCTGTATCACAGTACTATCAACTCCTATAGGACTACGATTACAGCAACCTGCTTCAGGCACTCTAACCGGGACGATAAATTATTAATTGATTAATGTCTTAAACTTGAAGAATCGAGCATTTTCAGTAAACAAAACACCTTCTGAAACTGCAACTCTTTACCTGAATCCCACCCATCAAAGTCGATGCACCTTCGGAATCAGGTCTAATTATCACCCCCTGAACGGAGTGATGCTAGTGAGATAAAAAAGGGTATATTGTCCAAACACAGGGCTTTGATACAGCCCGCTTTTGCTCTGAGCAGCTGAAGAAAATTAAAGTTGCGCACACGACTTCCACACGCAAAAAAAAAAATTACAGCTGAAATATAAAGCCTTCTGAAGCCGGTGGCATGAAGTTTAAAAAAAAAAAACTTTTATTTCTGTGGCTCTCTGTGCATCTCGGTTAACCCACGTTTTAAGAACAGAATTTAAAAGCAACCCAATTCTCTGGCAGTAAACAACGCACAAATATTTCGTGCATTTAAGTTTAAACACATGTAAATTCTCATCAGAGTTTGAAAACTTTTTTCTTTAGATATCAGTACACGCTTTGTAGGCATCTATTTGCGTTTAATAGCTACATTTCAATATGTTTGAACGCAAAGGAGGAGGGAGAGGGTTTCACAAACCTCGCATTGGTACAGTCGTTGTAAAGGGCTTCGAAGTCCTTGCGGGTAATGAGCTTGCAGCGGTTCACCCCGGGCTGGATGGCTCCCAGCCCCCGCAGAATCCGGACCTGCTCGACCGTGCAGACCACGGGAGATATATCCAGCCTCTTCAGCTTGGTGTACACGGTGTGCAGTCCGCCGACCAGGTGCTTCAAAAACAGATCAAAAACCTGGGGGAGGCAAATGAGCTCTTGTCCATCCACCGTGAACGAGGCCACCTTGACCCCATGGACCTCCACCATCTTACACTCATTATTGCCGCTGGTACTGTTGCTGCTGCTGCTGCTGCTACTAATGAAAGTGTTGATCATGCTGTTGGTCAGCCTCGGGGACTCCGCAGGGCTCGTATACAGGGGATCCGAGCGAAAGAGGCCCCCCGACCCCGGGTTGGAGGTGGGGGAAAGCACCGGAGGAGTTGCTGAAACAGCCATGGTCACTTTTCGAAATTTTGTTTTCACTTGCGCTCCCTCTCTTTCCCACTCACACTCACTCACGCCGGATAGTAGGCAATAGGCTACTACCGTCCTAGCAGTGTGGTTGAGAAACCGAGGGCTGCATTCACTGTTTCAATCAGCCAGCCCACCTTAAACAAGAGTGGCATCCCCATTCACTAATCAGCTCCGCCACGGCCGAGCCCCGTCGCTCTCACTGGAGCTTTTTCTGAAAGGGACGGGTCTCTAATTGAAGGGGGTCGGGTTATCATTGACAGCTGTCTAACGCACAGAGAGGGAACTTTTTCTCGTAATTGTTTTTCCGTGTATCTGTACCGTCAGCATCATGTTCTGTTTGGTTTAGCTTTGTTTCTGTTTCATTACATTTACTTTTGCTTCATTCGATACGTTGCGATTATTGGCAGAATAGCATAGTGATGTAAATTATTTCATTATGCATTATCCACGCCTTTAAGTGTAACCTGTCGCTGTAAGATACCTATTCATGTGTCTCTGGCTGATTTATGAGCGTTTTATATATATATATCACTTGCAATGAAAGTATTTTGGAATGCGTATCTTAGCGTGTGTCTTTTCAGTGCCCAGCTCATACTGCGCTGCCGTTCAAAATACACTTGGCCACTTCAAAGCCGATTTTTAAGCTTGTTGCTTGTTCATTCTTGGATGGTTAGCCGAATTAATTAGCTATACACTTGCAGTGAAATATATTTTTTCCTCAAAGTGTTCCCACGTTTGCAACTAGCACTCTGGTTTCTAAAAGGTAAAAACTTTCTCATCCATATACTGTTTATAGGCCTTATGGTTAACGGTACAGTAAAATAAAACATTTACAAAGCGTTGGGGAAAGCGCAGTAACAAAATGTAATGCATTATATTTTTTCAGGTCATTCTAATTGTACTTCAAATCAAAAAGTAGTATTTAAAGCGATAAAAGCATGCCGTGCGAAACGGAGCAATGTGGAGTAAATATTATGCAAAGGAAGTGCAAATATTTATGTTTTCTTTTAATACACTTCCCCTAAAGTCAACAACGCTATTACCCTCTTCATATTGAGAGCTGGAAAATGTAACAAATGTTTAAATGGAGAAATGAAGCTCAGGGTTAAGTTCCATCCAATAAAACGCAATTCTAACTAGCACTATACGGGGAAAAAAGTAAATTTCGGTGGGCAACAAAGGCTTTCAGCTTATTTCAGCGAAAGTTCACATCCAGTTTTGCACAATAATGCTGTGCGGCGCATGGGCAAAATAAATTATAAAAGTAAAAACACACTTAGGTAATCTGAACCTACACAACGTGTGTATTTCGGCGTGTTTTTATTGTTTATCCGATGTTTGATTGCATTCTGTTTTTTTCCCTCGTAATGAGGAAACCAAAACTGCTGTTTTGCTGTTCTCAAGAGCTTTGTCTGGTCCCCGGAAAACAGCTGAAGAAAATCTGACTGACTTGATACCAATCGCTGCCACTTGTGTTAACCTTGCATGAAATTGCAGTGCATCCTGATAATGCGGTGTTTGTTTCTATCAAAAATCCCCCCGCCGACTTGTTTACGTTTTATCAGAGATGCTCTGTTGTTTAATCAGAGCACAGCTCTCCGCTATATTTTATTTGTCATCGTCGCACACAGCAGCGCCCTGTCATTTAGTCGTTTTCTGTCATTTACACTTCTCTTCTTGCGATGGAGGTGGCGTCGTGAGTTGCAACAGATAGCATGCTTTTGTACGAAAAGCGCATCTTGAAGTGTGCTTTACAGTACTTTGTGGTGAAATGTATTTAAAAAAATGAAAAAGTGGGTCGTTAAATGATATTTAATATCTGATTTATATTACTGAATAATCTATAGTTTTTCTTAATTTTAAAAGTTAATCCAGAAAAAAAAGGAACGGTACTTTATACTGTATATACAGTATATATTCTCAAAAGCTATATACTCAAACGAAACAAGCCATGCTCTAGAGATTAATTTAAAAATGCTGTTTTTGTTTTTCTTCCTTCGAAGATCGTGCTGATAGAATTTGTCCCGATTCTGTGAATCCTTTTGGTATGCGTGAAGTATCTTTTTTCTAGTTGTACGTCTTAAACGATGTTATTTGGATCATATAAATTTACCTCACTACATTGCACATGTAACAAACAGTCAGCACACTCTTCCACTACTTATATTCTGAGCCAAGGAGCCAGAGACGGAGCTCAACCCAGGCAGTCCCTGCCTGGTCCCTTCATATTCAGACAAGTGTGATACTGTGAGTGAAGCTTGGGAAAGTCCTGTTTTACTGCTGGGATTTCTGTAGCAAAGTTTAGAGCTTCCTAGGCTCACGTATGTGAAATTTAAACTTAAATTTTAAAATACACCTTCCTAATTTCTTCTGCAGAAACAAAGGATATCTAAGAAACACTATCTCCACAGCCAACAAGGTCAAAAAGACGAGACTGACTATCTTCTGATAAAGACACTGATTTTAATCTAGGTGGGATTTTGCATTTAGTTTAAGACCAACAGTTCTTCACAGATACAATACCCTATATGTGATGGAAAAAGACATTGCACCTTTTATAGTTGTGAATAGAATTTTTTTAACGTGGATACACTAACAGGTGATGTGCACCTCATGTGTGCCAGATCCTAAACAGCAGAATAAAGCTGATTGTGCCCCATTAATTCAGAAGTATTGACATCCTGTACACGTCGGCGCAGTCTTAGACATCTTGGACACAATCAGGGGTGATAATACAAAGCATGTATGTTACAGAACTGCCACTTTACTCAAAGCCTCCTCCAGGAACATCTTCTGCTTAAGCTAATATTATAACAGCTTTCGTTCGGATGAGGGAGAAGTCATGTTTATCATTTAGCAATCTTTAATTCACATTGATTAGCATCTTGGAAAACTCCATCACAAAACGTTAAGGTAAATATACATGAGCATAATACACTGGCTAATTCATCACCTTTACCAATCAAATCAAATTGGCTCACTGTCAGATGCTTTTCATCATGAACATCATTTTTTCCTCTCTGCTAGAAGGTCAATACTGTGCTACAAAATGTGAATCGAACATGATTAACTGTAAGCTTAAAACTAACAAAACAGCTAAATTTCAATAGAAGACCCCACCACCAATTTAGGGGGTGAGTGTGTTGCAAGAAGCTAGAGCTTTGTGCTGTCAGAGTCAATTCTATCAGTTCTTTTCAAGAAATGTCTGGATAAGATTGATCAATTAGCCACTATAAACCAAACAAGCTACTGTAGCCTCTTCTCATTTGCCACAGATTTTTGTGTCCCTGTTTCTGAATTAAGAAACGATTAGAACAACAAGAGAAGTCTACAGCTTTTGTGCAGGAGTACATTTTCAAAGATTGCTCTTATCCCATTCCACCAGGTTTGAAAACGAAATACCAGATTCTTGAGAAAACATCTCTCGTGATTTTTACAATCAATTTATTGAGTTGCAATTGGGTCATTATTTTGCTGTTACTAAATGTCATCTTGAAATAAGCTAAAACAGGTGTGAAGCTAAGCAGGTGTGAGGCTGGTCAGTACCTGGATGGGAGACCTCCTGGGAAAAACTAAGGTTGCTGCTGGAAGAGGTGTTAGTGGGGCCAGCAGGGGGCCCTCACCCTGTGGTCTATGTGGGTCCTAATGCCCCAGTATAGTGACGGGGACACTATACTGTAAACAGGCGCCGTCCTTCAGATGAGACGTAAAACTGAGGTCCTGACTCTCTGTGGTAATTAAAAATCCCTGGGTGTTTCTCGAAAACAGTAGGGGTATAACCCCGGCGTACTTGCCAAATTTCCCATTGGCCCTTACCAATCATGGCCTCTGAATATTCCCCATCTATGAATTGACTTCATTACTCTGCTCTCCTCCCCACTGATAGCTGATGTGTGGTGAGCGTTCTGGTGCACTATGGCTGCCGTCGCATCATCCAGGTGGGGCTACACATTGGTGCTGGTGGAGGGGATCCCCATTATCTGTAAAGCGCTTTGAGTGGAGTGTCCAGAAAAGCAATTATTAAGTGTAAGTAATTATTATTATTATTATTATTATTATTATTATTATTATTATTATTATTATTATTAAAACACTGAGATGTGATTTCTTTTTGCCCATTTCTCTTATTGGATTTGCTTTGATTTCGTATATCACAGTTTTCTCGAGCTGCACCGTGCATAATGTTATTATCAGGAAAACGACAGAATTTACTGTTGATTAAATTAAAAAGGTAAACAAATTGCTAGGATATGTAGTTAAAAGTGTAGATGATTAATCAAGAGATGTTATATTATAATTGTATGACCAATAAGGCCTCATTTAGAGTATTCTGTTTAATTGTGGTCACCAAGTTATATAAAAAAAAACATTGCTGCCCTGGGATTAATCTGTTCAGAGAAGTTGCTCAGAGAAAAGCAATCAGATTCCTTGGAGGGCTTTAGGGAGACAGGCTGGAAGCCTGATGTTTTTAGTCCTGAAAACAGAAGACTCTGAGGTGATCTGGTACAACTATTCAAACTCCTCAAAGGCATTGACAAAGTTAACCCAGAGGATTTCTCCAGAATGAGCAGCAAAACAAGAACTATAGGACAAACGTGGAAACTACAAGAAAATAAATTAAAAACCAAGGACAGGAAGCACTTATTTACTCAAAGGTTTGTGGGAGCATGGAACAAGCAGCCCAAATACTCTGGCTTCTTTCAAGGAGTAGATACTGTAGATGAGACCTTTGGATCAATTAACTACTAAAATAGGCTAGATGTGACAAATGGCCTCCTCTCGTTTGTAACCTTCTTATGTTCTTGTGTTCACTGGCATTTATTTCAAACAACAGACATGACATGCATTAGGTAAATGTATTCAGCTTATTAACATTCACCATCAATGGGGTTGATTAACAGGGGATATACAGAGTCTTGTAGTGCATGTTGTCACATAGAAGAAATACAAGTTGTTAGTACAGTAAAAACAGCTTTGCTTTGCATTTGTTTTATGAGATTTTGTCTCCAAATGCCACATATAGTCCCAGCCTATCTTCGATAGGACTCAAGTCAGACTAAAAGAGCCTCCACACCATACTGACATACCATGGTCTGTTGTACACAACATCTGTTCATCAGATCAACAT